AAAGTTCTTATAATAAGGTTCTAGAGACGTTGTTTATCTTTGTGCATCACAAAATATTTTACTTCTGTCCCCTCCCTCACCTGTTGCTTAGCCCCATTTGCTAGAAGATGACTTCTACAGTACAGTTGCTTACCATAAAGACTTGCTGTGAGGAGGAACTTGCAGTCGTTGCAATCATGCAAAGTGATGATGTTAGAAGTAAAATAGAGTCACTGTCAGTTTTGTCAAGCTGAGGCTATTTTGAATCTGTATTTAGCTAAATTGAATATTTCTGTGCAATGAGTGCTTATAAACTACTCCCAAGTTTGAGAGAGATGTTCATTCTAAATGTTTGCTGAAGTCAACATATCAAACTTGAAATAACTTTCAATGTGACAGACGTTGCAAATGTAACAACAGGATTTCTTGTAATACACTATTAGTACATCATTGTAAAATGAATGGCTATGCGTAGGGTTGAAACAATTAATCGGATTAATCCTGATTAATCAATTATTGAAATTATCTGCAACTAATTTAGCAATCGATTAATCATTAACTGGAGTATAGCTACCGTAATACATGCCTTTAGCTGACAGAGTGACCCTCTTAGAGCAATAATTCTATCATAATTGTAAAAAAAATATGTAAATATTTTGTATTTAAGACGAAACATACTTTTCGTCCGTCAATATACTCTACCCAGAACTCATCAAGTGGAAAAGTTTTACTTTCATCTGGTATCATTTTATAAAATATATCTATCTAGCCGATTATTAATCGATTAATCGAAAAAATAAACAACAGATTAATAATTTTGCAAAATAATCGTTAGTTGCAGCCATAGATACGTGGTTTTAAAAGTGTTTATTAAAATGTATTTATGAAAATCTAAAAAAGCTGGCTTGAAAAAGAAATCAATCCCTTCCTAACTTTAAATACATCCCTCTGGCTGCACAGAAGTAGCCTAATCCTGGTTAAGACCATTTTTTTGGTAATTGATAGAAAACTTCGATAGAAACCTTCCGTAAATAGAAAACTTTGAACCAATTTGATCTGGTTAATTTGTCTCTGTAATGTGCATTGAGATGACATACGTTGATAATTGGAGCTATATAAATAAACTGAAATGAATTAATGTGTCAGTTTAGACCCTGCTGTTCTGTTAAGGGCTCCGAAGTTTGTTACATAACACTAGCAAACAAGTACTGAAGATGAAGGGTTAGAGCAGAGCGGTCAGAGATAATGGAGGTTTTTCAGGGAGGTTTAAACAATATGATGAATTTGGCCATCATTTTGGCAGCGCTGCTCACCGAAACTGATAAGCCAGTCAAGGGAAGCTTCAGTTAGGGAAGCAGCCAAAGCCTAAAGTACAACTTCAGGAAAGAAAGATCTCAAAACATACAGTGAGAGCTTTAAGGGATTAGGTCGGGTAATATTCACTGTAAAATAGCCAAAAGCTAAATTTAACTGAGAATAATTTGCTGTGCTTGAAAACTAAAACACAGGGACAATCTCCATCAATAAGCAGCTTAAGTTATCTTGCAATAATGAATGTCTAAAAAACACAAATGCCTGAATAAACTGCAAAGCCGAATTTTTAATAGTAAAAAAAATCTAGTCTGATTTTCTTAATTAACATTGAAGCAACTTTATGTTGGATTATCACATGGATTCATAGAAAATATGCAGATGTTTCCATAATCTTACATGATGAAGCCTACATAGCTGTCCACCATCCCTTTCATTGTGCTCTTCCAAGTGCTGATTGCTGCAGAGAGACAGAGTTTCACTGATTCCTTATATAACCACCAACGACAGCTCAGAATGTACCGTGAATCGATGCAGAACCACTAGCAGAGGGAGGACTTAGCTCCCGCAGCAAAGCAGCTATTTACTGTAATTATTGAAGCCATTAAGGGAGCCAGCAACAGAGCAGCTTCTGTTGAGGACCAGGGCATCTCGGTCTGTTACCGTCATGACCGCCGCAGAGGTAATTTATCTGTAAGTGTTTCAGCAATGTCAGTTCAACACAGGCTGAGGAGAACTTAATTAAAGGAATGAACGGGGCTTTACTAAAATCTGCCTGCAGGGTGTAATAAAACAATCACATGCGGATCAATAAACATGGATTAAAATCACTGAAGTATCTGTCCTGTTGATTTTATTTTTTAATTTTTAGACCTGATTAGTAAAAAGGAATTCAAACAATATAGAATAATTTCTCCACTTGTCATGCTGCTTCCTCTTCAGGCACAAAACATTTTTATTCCCAGATTCACTTTTTTTTTTTTAAAACACTTTCTTAAAAATCAAAAGTTTACATTCTTTCAGATTAGTGTAACTCATGAAAACCCATATGATGATTTTAATGGCATGTTAGGCATCTTGTAGGTTAATTTGGCTAGGGCTGCAAGTAATGATTATTTTGCAAATTAATTAATCTGATGATTATATTTTCGATTAATCGATTAATAACCGAATAGCCAACGGTTCCTTATAGAAGATTTGTTACTAAATCAATCCAGATGAAACACAAACACATTTCCACTTCTGGAGTTCTGGACAGAGCACAATAAAGGATTTTTTTTTTTATTGTAAATGAAAAATGTATATATATTTTTTAGTACAATTTTGATATACTTACTGCTCTAAGTGGGTTGCTCTGTCAGTTAAAGAGGTTTAGAGTCGAAACTCCAGTTAAGGATTACTAAATTAGTTTAAGATTATTTTATCTATCAATCACAATTAATCTGAATGTTTTAGTCCTAAATTTAAGTAAAATAGAGGTGTTCCTTTTTTGTGGCCATACATCCAAAATATTGCCCCTTTCAAAATTAGGTATAACTTTCAAATTCTTGCATGTGAATATCCAGCCATCCTACTGTTAAGGAAGGATATCTTAATATTTAACTTTTTTTTGTTTTGCAAGTGTGTGAAATATGCATCAAGAGCTCTGTGTCTATTGCATAGACACATTAAGATAAACGTGTGGGAAAGTCTTAAACTCTATTGCCTTGAAAGCCAATACTTCTGCTTCTAGTGCTGTTCAAACAGGGTGGGGCTTTCATTTCCTTTATTTCACCCCCACTGTCACTGTAATATCCGCTCTCAATTGCTATGAATTAAACAGCTCACTTTGGTTGCACTACAGCTGAATTCATTGCCAAAGCCAAAGCGGGCAGTTGTAGTGGGAAGAAGAAGAAGAGCGGATTGCTGGAAGAGACTAGAAGAGCTGAGATATTTATAGTCAGCTCATCTCATGGTGATGTCTTTTAGAAGCTCTTTTTCGTCCTCTCACATCCTTGCTGTCTTGTTCTCTCTCCCTTGCTGCCCTCATTTTACATGCACATTTGCTGTTCATATACACTGAATGGAAGGCTAGAAAACAGTGGAAAGGTTACAATTAAATGTGAACGCTTAAAGAGATCTGTTTTTTTTTTGTATAAACTGTTTAAATATTCGAACATAAGTCCAATGTTCAGAAATAACAAGAAAACACATTAAAGAAAAAAAATATTTCAAGATTTATTCGCTGTATAAACAATACTGGAGTTGCCTCCATACACTGTACAATACGTAGGGTCAGTCATATTTCTCTCCGTAGACAGAAAGGTGAAACTGCCCTGGTTAATGTGCCCAATCATTTTTATACAGAGACAGATTGCATCTTTTCTTCTTTTTTTTTTTTACAGCACAAAGTAAAACAGCTATTCAACGTGACTTTTAAGCTGTAACGTGACGTGAGATGCATTGTCTAAAAAGAAAAAAAAAATGTCCCTGAAGAATTCCTCACTGAGGTAACATTTATCAAACCGTTCACTTCTTGTTTCACTCTGTTTCACCGTGCCACCGCCTCCTTCCTCTCGGTTTTAAACCACCTTCCTCTTGCAATCACATATACTGTAGCTACAAGTTTGAAGACACAGAAACGTTCGTTCCCGATATCTGGCATATTTACAAACAGAGAAAATGACTCAGTTTCTCTTTTGATGTTAGAAACACGACCCCCCCTTCCCCACAGGAAAAAAAGCAGCTTACAATAAACCATGTTCTGTTTAGAAAGAAAAGCTGCGCCGTGAAATACGTATCAGTCATTGGGTGCAAATGATCAAGTTCTCGCTGCTTATTGTTTCATCGTAAATTGGACGTGAATCCAAACAAGGAACCTCAGTCGTATTGTTTAAGTAATATGAGAGGAACTTTGCATATAAATTCAAAACGTATACATATACTGAGATTATACAGTATATTCATATTGAAAGGCCACAGGAATAGCATAGAGAACATGATATCAAAACATAAGGAAAAACAAAACCCTTGTAACTATTTAAGCCGAGTGTTGAGACAAATACTGGCATGCTATAGCACAGCTGTGGCTGTGTAATGCTTTGGATGTGTGTGTTTGCAATGGCCCCTATGTTGGACATACTTGAAATGTTACTTCAGCCAAAAAGCTAATATTCCAGTTGGATCTTAAACAGTTTGACAGAGCACATATCATACAAAAAGAGAGCGAATTAAAAACTTTGAGGTCTTACATGTACAAAATTCTGCAAAACAAGGTGTTCTGATATATTGCAGTTACAAAGAGGACCTCATGTGACCCGTTGCAGTAAGAAGGCAGCATGCCCCATCTACTATTATCGGGTTTCTAGTCAGAAAACACAGAAAAGAAGTGTGATTACAAGAGAATTGAACAGTCAGCATTAGAAACATGTTAGAAAGATTATATAAGGCCAGCCTGAACCAACGGAGATCCAACTGCTGTTCATACAAAGACCCGGACCTTTGCTTCTGTTAAGACCTCGTCAACATCTGCACTTTGAGAACCAATCATTGGTATTATTTATACATCCATTTATGTTGGATACAGGTCTTCAATGAGATGTATTTCTGATTCCTTTTAAATACATTTTTTTATGCTTTACTTTTAGAAAATGTCTTGAAATGATCAACTAATAGAAAATAAGTTCTGATGCACCGTTTGGTCAGACCAGAGAGAGGATTAGGGTCTTTTCTTTAAATCAGCTCTGATATGTGATTTGCTGGAAAATTATCAACAAAGAGTACTGGTTCAGTTTTACTTCTCATTAAGTAAATCCGAAACTGAGAAATAACCTCAAGTTTGATAGTGACGTAATAAAATAAAAAAAAAACTAAATTTAAACAAAAGGATAACAAAAAAGCCAAGCGACTTGGAAAAAAAAATAATAATTAAGATTTGTTTTCTCATGTCTTTGAGATTGTGAAGCCAGTTTTCTTTTCACTTTAGAAATGTTGCATTATGTCAATTGCAAACACAGAAGTGACCCGACTGAACAAACTAACTGTTAATGTAGGTCTACAAACCGTTACTTTTATACTGAAGACTTTAAATCTGAAATATAAACAATAGATTGTTCAGGGTCGGCTTGTTTCCATTCCCATGTACAGTCTAACCTCATTATCCTGTTATGTGTGAAGCAGATTGAAATAAAGCCACTGTACAGGAGAAAATGTTTCTATTCCATGAAACCTGATGGTGATAGGATCACACTTGAGCTGTTTTCTAAAGGAGGTGGAAAACTGGTCACAATTAATGTGGGGAAACTAGATAAAAAAAAAAATTTTCATTAATTTTCATTTTTAATAAACATTATTCCAGTACAAATTTACATAATTTGTCCAATTTGGAAATTGCAAGCTTGACCTCAAAGGAATCAGAAATTTGAAATAGGCATGAAATGCCAGATTGGTGCTTCTCTAAAGATAATCAGAGTGACTAGGATTAGTCTACCACAACTTGGCCCATTTTCTTTAGCTTTAAAAAACAAAACAAAAAACATGATTGCCTGGTTTTAGCTCTATTTGGCATCAAGATAATAGGTGTGATAAATCAGGCTATTTACCCCCTGGTAAAATAAAAGCTGTGGTTTGACATTTGGTTGATTAAAAGCTAGAGCTGAAACATCTGCTTTAGTTTGGTCTAATTGTAAATATAAGTGGATAATATTAAGACCTTAAACTGAGTGAATGCTAAGGTGTTACCCATTGTTCAAACTGACACAAAGAATGGGAAAATAATTTGCAGGCAAAAAGGCAAAGTTGAGCCACTTGTTTTGGAGTTTCTGCTCCGAATTATTGCAGAATTCTTTGCTTTTTATTTTATCTGACTTCAACACTTCCTGCATGAGCGGCAGATGTGCACGTTGTCACAGAAAGCCATCTATAGCTTATACTGCATGCTGTCGTGATCAGCGACAACAGCCAAGAAAAACAACAAAGTCCTCCAATATATTAAAGCAACATCCAACCCTTGGTTACAGAGACTGTTAAGAGAGCACACAGCACCACAGCATGCTCAGGTATACAAAATAAGATTCATTTGATTAATAACTTTATATATAAATTCCCTTTTTCATTATTAATATTTCTCTCTTTCTTAAACAAGGCTTAAAACTACCTATAATGAAATGGGTGATCCTTACTTAGCTGCCCCCTAATGCACCTAAGGGACAGTAAATGCAGTCTGTCAGAGGCCAGTCCCAGTCTGCAGCACAAACACCAGATTACACCCACAGTCCTTCTTCCTGCTCTCCTTTTTTGGCAAATGTGGGCCCCGTTAGGTACGGTGCCCCAGAAGTTTTTTTTAAAAATGGAAACAACTTCCTCCATATGCTCTCCTGTCGGCACTAAACCTCTCAGTGAAATTTCTCGAAAGGAGAAAAAAAAAGAAAAAAAGAAGTCTGAGCTGGCAGGAACCAGTTTTGGCAAAACAAGCTTGTTAGACAGCAGTTGTGATGCAATAACGAAAGAAGTTCAGAGTTTGGTTTCAAACTGAAATAACTAAGGTTTTAAGGATAAACTGGTGGAAAAAGCCCGTAGCTCCTTATCTGCAGCTGAGGGGACAGTGAGATGTTGGGGGGGGATAAGGGATCTGCACACTTCCAGCCCAGACCCCGACCTTAGAGGCCTCTGTTAGGGACTCCAGGTCCCTGTTCCCTCCCCATGGCACCGTGCAGCTGTCAGGGCTTGTCGCAGGCTGGGACTAGCCTCTCTGCCTGCTCCTTCTGCTCTCTGAATGTCTCTTTATCAAGTGCCAGCACGTCTACGGCTACACCACTGTGCAAACTGCATAATGTCATTAAAAATTAAAGACGACTTAGAATAAAAACAACAAAAAAACGTTCCTTTTCTTTAGTTTTACAGTCTCTTAAATCAGTTTTAAGATTGATTCACTTTGTTTTGGACAAAGATAAAGAGTATATAATTATATAAAGGTACAGATCTGTGCGTAAATGTACATAAAAATATACAAAAAATGCATATACATATATTGAATTTGTTAAGGACTTCTCATAGATGTTCTGCTATGTACGTTACCATACATACGGTACAAACTTACATACTTATTTTAAGTGTGTGTTAATTCCTTGGTTTTAGAAAACGCTCTACACTCAGTAGAGCGAGTGAATCACAGATTCTCCGTGAGACGCCGCCAAGCTCAGCATGCCAGCAGCTTCTCTGTGGATCCTCTATGTTCCTATCTTTGTATTAAGCTTTCCGTTTTTCTGCGGCCAGTCAGTCAACTCAGTGGAGGCAGGGTTTTAACAACAGCTCAGGTGTAAACCCACAGTTCACTGCCTTGGGTTAAAGAAACTCCCTCACATCTCCTTCGCTTAGCTCCGTTGACCCCTTCCATCTCTCTAGAGCAGCTCTGCGCCCAGACTCTATGACGAGGGGCCCGAAGAGGCGAAAACCTTCAATAAAACCGGCTGCGTTTCTCCAAGTGCAGCCACTTGTTACCTCCTACCTCTTTGAAAAATAGAGAGGTGGTGGGGGACAGTCTCGAGTCAGTCTTTCAAGTGGACTCCAGAGTGTCCAGCTGAAACACGTTGTGATTGGTCGGGGTGGTAAAGAAGAGCTGGTCGTGCGGCGGGGAGGTGGAGCGGTTGTCACAGGGGCTGTTGAGGCCCAGCGTCCGCTCGAAGTCCAGGAGCTGGCCCATGAAGTTGAAGTTGGGGGAAATGTTGGACTTTTTCCGCTTTACGAAGTCGTAGGCGTCGTTTAGCGACAGGTTGAGCTTCTGCATCAGGTAGGCCACGGTGACGGTGACTGAACGGCTGATCCCGGCCAGGCAGTGCACCAGGATGCCACATTTTTTGGAACGAGCCTCATCTAGTCACGGTGAAGGGGTGGGTAAGAAGATAAAGAAAAAAAAAGAAGAGAGAAAACCAAGAAAATCGGATTACTTGAACACCAAGGACTTACATTTATACATTGAAATCCAAACAATATTCTCTATTTCTGACATTTCGCTTCCTATCTAGGAAGCGAAATGTCTTCAAACTTAGAAACAAAGTCCAGTGGATTGTTTTTTTTTTTACGTTTTTGGATTAACCAAGCACGTAATTCCCTAACTAACAAACAATAAGATCGATAAAAACAAATAATTATGTTATTAATTCAAATATTTTCATTTTTTGGCTTTATTTATTTTGACTAAAATAAACATTTTTGATACATTTAGCTTCTAACAAACTGTGTAAACATCAAACTGTTTCCAGTTTGTAGATTTTTAGTAAATATTTAGACTTAATGGGACATTTCTGATAGGCATATAGTGTTATATCCCCTCTATTAGAGAGGACAGGTTTTACTACACATCAGTGGATAAATGAGACAACAAACACATATGGTCCTCTAAAATAAAATGGCCTAATTATTTATTCAAATTAATATTTCATATCTAACACATACAACTACCAATAGCTTTCCTCAATGGACAGAGCGTGGGTTCCCTTCCAGCTCTCTTTCTAAAGCAAACTGAAGAAAAGAGGGTCCTACATTATTAAGCGGCTGCACCCATCCACCTATCAGTTTCGAGCCCTTGCACTCACATCCAGAGGCCATTAGAGCGAGAGTTAAGTGCTTCTTTCCTTCCTTTCTGTCAGCCTCTTCTCGCTCTCACTGACTGCATCTCCAGTTGGAGGATTGAGGTCAGTTGGCTCACGAACTCAGGCAGGCGAGCTGATGCCAAATTAAATTTATATGACACACGTGCCAAAATTGCATAATGTAAAAAAAAAAAATAGAAAGAAAGAAAAGGGGTGTGAAAATAATAATTAGTATATTTATCTTAACCCTACAAAGCTCAGAATTAGAACAAATATAGAGTTAATCTCCTGGAGCGGATCTGTGGGCTGGGCTGCATTACAGCTGCTTTAAAAACACGACCAGATTCCTCCATTTATTAAGATTTTTAACCACCCAAAATACAAACTCCTCTCTATTTCCATTGTCTTTCATAAAAATCTAGCAATTTCTTTAAATCCTTCAATGAATTTCTACCTTTCTAGGGTTACGAATCTTTCATAGCCATGTCTGCATTATTACCCTGCTATAACTGAAATGATCTGATGTAATCCCTGCGTTCTACAGCTGGTCACACAGCTCCATTTAACATCAGTATGACCCAAATCTGCCACAACCTCCTGGTCTGGCATATGTCACGCCTACTTCCACCAAAGCAGATTCATACGTTTAACAAAAAAAAAAAAAGAAAGCCTGTAGAATTCATTCATTCCCAGAGAATATAGTGAATGGATGTGGGCATCCATTCACATATCTACCAAAACATACATATTTCACTTTCCTTTGGGATTCAATTTTATATAGATGCAATCCAGAGCCTTGTGAAGATTATTAAATCTTATTAATTTTTTGTTTACTTTGTTGATGTATTCTAGAAGTTTTTCTACAGAGTTCTGAGCCATTTTCTTAATCTATAAACAAGAAAATTCAACATAAATAAACATCTGATATTCCTTAAAGGTTTAAATCCAAAATATAGTAAAAAGAACAAAAACCAAGAAAACTGGGAGATAAAAAAATGAATAGATGGCTTGCTGATGGATAAATAGGAACAGATGGGAAGACTGAGATGGATCACAGTCGGTTGGGTTCCTGAATTAAGTGATTTTATTTATTTATTTATTTTTCATATTTTGATTTTATTTTGCGGAATTATAGAAACCTGAACAATGCTTAAATCAAATTTCAGAGTTTTATAGACCGTGTTGGAGTCCAGTATGTTTGCTGATTCAAATAACTTAATGTTATAATCTCATTCATCAGCTTAATGTGCGCAACACTGAAAAAGAAAAAACTTGGATGACAGGCTGCAAATTATTATTATTTTTCTAACTGATTAATAAAAAATAAAATAAACAGAGTTCTGGATAGAACATACTTTTTATCTTAAAAGGAAAATGTTATATATATATATATATATATATATATATATATATATATATATATATATATATATATATATATATATTTATTTATTTTTACAATTTTGGTATAATTACTGCTCTAAGTGGGTCACTGTCAGCTAATGGCACGTTTTAGAGTCTCTACACTCCAGTTAAGTTGCTAAATTAGTTGAAGATTATTTCAATAATTGATTAATTACAATTAATCTAATTCATTGTTTCAGCCCTACTTGGATGTAACATTTTGTAGAAGATTTTCAAAACTATGGATGTAAACGTTTGTATTTTTATAGTGACTAAGATACTGGAGCTGACAAATGTTGTCCTGATGTAGAACTCTACACACTAAAATACCAAAAATGGTCTAAAGACATTTTATTTGCAGCTGCTTTAAGAAGGTGCAGAAAAAAACTCAACTATGAATCTTTATTTAAAAAGATTTGATTGTTGGATATTTTTAGGTGCCAATTAGACCTAAAACAAAAATAAGGTAAATGTACAGCACAACTTAACACTGAATTTAAGTCCATCGGTTTGTAAATTTACACCAATAAGTTCATTTTGACTGGCATAGATCTGGAAGGCAACACATTGGATATGACTACTGAGAGCATTAAACCCCATTTCCATGGTGAGGTCATTTCCATTCTCCTAACATTTTCAGAGAGAAATGTTTGAACTGCTGCTTCTATGTATTAATTTTAGACCATCAATTCTTAGATACATCATCAGCAGCACAGTTTTATCTAAATAAGTGTTGTATAACTTTCAGGAATATTTAGGTGTTTCTAAAAAAAGAAAATAAAAGGATCACCTACAAAAAGGATAGGATCTTTTTCTTTTCATGGCTGCGTGAATTTGGGATGATCTAATGTTAAGAGTTACGAGCAATTTAATTAAGTAATGCCCCTGATACACTTCCAGATGTTTGATCGAGCTGAAATTTTGCATGTGACGTTATTTAAATCTCTATAGATTAAATAGCAAATTGCAGCTCTGAACTATTTGTGGTTTCTGACTTACAGGTGTTTGAACTGAATAAAGTCTGAAATGGAGCCTGTCGAGTATCGAGCAGTGATCCGGTTTTTCTATTGGAATGACTCGCACAACGGAAGAATTTTGATTAAATTAAAGTAACTTATGGTGATGATGCCCGTTATATGATCTTGCAAAATGTTTTACAAGGTTATATTATGGAACATTATCACTATAAGTTACTTTCATTTGATCAAAAATCTCCCATTTTGTGCATCCTTTCAAATGCAAAACTCAGACTTGACTCAGATTAACAGCAGTAAATCAGAAACCACAATTAGTTCAGAGCTGTAATTTGCTATTTAATCTATAGAGATTTAATATACTTCAAATGCAAAATTTCAGCTCAATCAAACATCTGGAAGTGGGCCAGGGGCATTACGTATAAAGCAGAGGAATAAAGATAAAGGGATGGGATTTATTCTTTATGCTGTTATGAACTTTCACCCTGCAAATCCGACCTGCTGAGCCAGATTCAAGCCCAAACGGGCACAAAACAAACAGCTTTCTGAAGTCTTGATGGGGCAGTGACTTCAGACGTCAGCGGATACAATTTTAAGCCCATAAATGTGAACAATAAATAGATATGTAATCCTCATATCCTTAAAAGTAATTCTGACTTACAGTAACTTTTCTGGATTTTGGCCACACCTGCTCATTCAGAATAAACAGCTGAACGTGTCCACGCCTTTGGGCTTTCCAGCACACCTGATAAAGAGCAGGAGCTCCGCCTCCACTTACCGATAAATGAAATGGCCTCGGGGAAAAACTGTGAGAGGTTCTGGCTCCAGTGATCAGAGATGGGGATCTGTTTGTACTTGAAGTCTCCCTCGTGCTCAAACATGTTGGGCAGGTTGGGCGTGACATTCAGGATGTACTTTATGTTGTACTTGCTGAGCACATCCAGGTTTGCAGAGTCTTTGGCACAGCCCAGGTAAAGGTACGGCAGGATCTGGACGGGGAAGGCAGGCTGGTTGTTAGGAAGCGGGCTACCCTCAGATTCTGTGGCGCTGCTCGGTTCGCGGTCAGACTCTCCGTCCGAGCAGTCCGAGCTAATGCGAAGTCCTCCTAGCCCCAGGACCGAGGCTGGCGGGGAGCTGCTGGGACATGAGCAGTCCAGATTGGTTTCGCAGTGTTCCGGATACTCTGACTGGAATTTATTGAAGCCTCCTAAAGATGAAAAAAAAAACAGAAAAAAAAAATACAGGAAATAATGAAAATATATGTAGATTTTTTTTCCATTAACAGATGTAATTACCTTTAACAGCCTAATCATTCTGCAGAACTAAGGAGTAGGTTTTTCATTTTCTTTAAGAGTAAAATACAAAACATTCCTCTTCCAAAGACCCGTAGAAATGCATCCAGTTTTCATACGCAATCCTTCTTTTTAGTGATCACTTTGTAGGATGTTATTTTAAATGTCTATAATTCCATTTTCAACTCCTTAAGAAATATTTAACCTCTCTTTTTTTAAACAGCCTTTGACCTTGCACGCCCTTACTTTGTTGATCCCCTAGGAAGGGGATGGGTTAAATGCAGAGGAAAAATTCTCCAATGTGAGATCAATAAAGTTCAATTATGATTACTTCTCAGAGTAATGTGCAAGCACATCAACACATGTCAACTCAGAGAAAAGGTGAGCTAACCAGGTAATATTAAATCCTCAGACCTGTTAGAAAACCTGTGGCTATAATCCCTCTCATCAGTCTGGACTGTGGAATAGACTCAGCTTGTCTTTAAGCAGTACTAACAATGGTGCATCTAAATACATAAAAAGGTAATTAGTTCAGTAATTCTGTACAGAAAGCATAATTTCTGGTTTACCTGACAGGTTTATCTAAAAAGAAAAAGAGAAATGGCAGTAACAGGGACTTTTTATTCATAGTATTAGGTTAACATGCTTTTTTTAAGCATTTCAGACATTTTCAGACTTATATTTTTAAGATTATCTGTCAAATTTCATAACATTCTTGGAATCCAAACTATGTTAAATAGTGTTATCTGTGTGTTTCACAAGTCATCAGACAATGATTAAGCTTTTCATTTCAAAGTGCTCTTCAGCAGATGTAACCAGACAGATGTGGGTTGAATTAACATAAAACTGACCAGTGGTTGTTTTAGTCAAAGTCTGTGAAGTTTAATACAGTTATCTTTGTTTGTGAAAATGAAAAAATACAATTTAAATGATGTTTGGGCCATTTAAAGAAACATCAGTCCAGTTTAAAACCATGAACTGACAGGACTTCAAGGCCATAAAGCAGTAAAACGTCCGTTTTCTTTTGACGTACGTATATTTATAGTTTCTCAGTCTTTAACCTAAAATGATTCGACTGAAGCACCAATCAGCTGGCCAGAGATCAGAACATCATGTTCTTTAAAGTAGTTTTATGATAAGGAATAAACAGATAATGGTCAGAGGGGTGACAGCAGCTAAGTGGGTGGAGTCGTCATCGTACAACTAGAAGGTTGCGAGCTTGTTTCCAGTTTCCCACTGTCAGAGCTCCATCTGCATCTGAGCAAGGCAGTAAACCACAGCTACCTGCTAATCTGCACACCTGTGTACGAATCGGTGTGCATGGATGAGTGTGACTGGGTGAATGTGGCTTTAGTTTAAAGTGCTTTGAAAGGTTGGCAACTAGAGTAGCACTATATAAACAGAGTCCTTTTATTTAGCATATAGGAACATATGCTGCAATGCGTACATGAGAATTATCTTGTAATCCCTTAATTTTTTCTAGAAATGATTACACCTATCCAAAGAATTATTCTTTTATCCATACATACATATACATACATATATATATATATATATATATATATATATATATATATATATATATATATATA